AAGGCCAGTTAGAAGGCGGTATGGAAGTAGTCCGAAAATAGTAAGAGGATAGTGAGAAAATAGTGTGGAAGCCGGAAAGTACGCGTTTAGTGTGGAGAGTGGAGATGAGAAAAGATAAGAGAGATGAACGGGAATAGTAGAAGAGACGATCGGGAATAGATCAAGATATAAGAGGAAAATAGAGTGTACGTTATGGGTTTACTTGTACCTGGATCGGTAGATACAAATGTAAGTAAGGGAGGGCGGCAACGTGGGGGATGATGATTCATACGTATTCCGTATATGTGCGTACAAACTTTCCCATGTTGCGGTAGAAAGCCCTTTAAACCCCATAACCATGATCGCTACTGCCGAAATTCAATGCCGTGTACTGTACCAGCCAATGTAAGTGGCCGCCACCTTCCCCGTCGTAGCCGGCAACGCCGAAATAAACGAAAATAAATAAAATAAAATAAACAAGACAATTAAACAATTAAACAATTAAAGGGACGATAGAACAATAAAACGCGACGCACCGAAATGAAGTCTCCCCATGCACACACAAACCTCGGCTCGTGCCACCAGCACCCCCTGCCACCGAACCGCCACAGACCGCCACCCCACGCACCGGCGAATCGGCGCTCCGCCCCTATCTCCCCCAACGCCGCCTTATCATATCAGTACCTCCCACACCCCTATCACCACCACCACGCCCACCACACCCTATTGACATTGTGCGACCTCTATCACTTCCCCGCATTCCGGACCTCCCCGCAGGAGCTGCGTTGGAGCTGCGCTGATACCATGGACTTGCGGGAGGTGGCGATTGCCGCGCTTGCTCACGGTGCGATGCTATCTGTGTGGCTTAGGCGGTGGTGTGAGGTGCGCCCGAAGGAATGGTGGATGAACGCGTGGTGATACGGCCACGCGGGACTGTGCGACTCGGGAGTATGAGATGAGCTCAGATCCGCCGAGAGTATTGAGTCTATTTGCGTATCCGCCGAACGGGCGCTATGTATGTGTCGTACAGAGAGTTGGCAAGGTGAGCTGCATAGAAGTTTAGTTTCCTGGTACCAAGCCCCCTGTTTGTTTGCGGAATAAGAGACGGCTGTGGTACGGAGGACAAAGGGGTTCTCATTTCACGTGAGCCGATGCTTGGTGCTTGGTCATGGAATTCTGCGCTGTTGCTCTTTTGCACACAAGTCGATATTTGGTGCTTGGTAATGCGGCTGTTCTTTTTGGCGCTGTAAAATCGCTGCCCCTTGCTTTGAGATCTGAACAGCTGAAGAGGTCAGCTGGTGGCAAAGGAAGATGGAGCCGAGGAGAGACATAGTGACAGGTGGGTTCGAACCAAGAGTTCACGGAAGGCAGGAACGGAGAACTTAGGGAAGGTGCGAACGAGGTGCTCAGGGAAGGCGCGGATGAGGGTCTCAGGGAAGGCACGAACGAGTATTCCAGTGAAGGCTCGAACAATGACCCAAGGTAAGGTGCGAACGAGGAGCGGGATGCAGTTGAGTGGGACGAATCTGGATAGCCATCTGCCTCTAAAGAGATGAGAATGGAGAGATGGACATTGAGAGAACAAGATAGAGGCCCCGGAATGTAAGTGTATCCGTTCATCAGTCCTATATCCCCATCCAGTTCCCCTCTCACTCCCGCCATTCACTCCCGCCACTGCGCCCCGTCTCCCGTCAGTCCCGACGGCTCAAGCCTCGGGCGGTTCTGCGCCTCCGCATCCGCATCCGTTCCACGAAGAGTACCATCTACATCTTCCTCATCATGATACTCCTCCACTCTCGCGCCCTCGCCAATCAACAGCCTCTCGCTCTCTTGACCGCCCCGTGAATCCTCGAGATCACCAGGCTCGGCACCGCCCAGGTAACGCATCCATGCAGGTCGAGTCCATGGGGTGCTCCTCATTTGCGCGCCCAGCACAACCATCTGAAACAGTTAGCAAGCCGCCGCACAACAACTACAAGTGGACAGTCTCGACAGGCCAGATTTCTCGTCCGACAGCACCACAAGAATAACGCACCTTTAGTACAAAAACCGCCACGGCAACCCCAACCAACACCCCCGCCATCCTCCTCTCCTCCTCTCCCCAAGCCGCTCCACACGCCGTTGTTCTTCCCAACACTTCACTGCACTGCTTTGCCCCAGGACCCCCGGGCGGCCCATGTGGAAATGGCCACGCCCGATCCACCGCGCTATTAAACCCACAGCATTCCCATCGATCCTGAATTCTCCGTATCGCATCTGCGTCTTTGGCACGGTATAGCGCCGACCAGCGCTCCTCGAGGCCACAGCTTGCGGGGAGGTATGTGAGAGCCCATGTCGCGAGGACGGTTCCGTAGGTGGTGAGCATGGTGAGGAGAGTGGTGTAGAGGGGCAGCTTAGAAGGGCTGAGGAGGCGGGAGATGTAGGCTGTCATAAGGGTGGTGACGATGGGGAGGAGAGTGACGAGGACGGGTAGAGTGAGGGGGATGGGGAGGGAGAGGAGGCGGATTTGGGTGTAGGCGTAGCTATGAGTTGTCAGCGCTTGTGAGCTAGGTGTCATGAAGGACGAGGGAGGGCGTACCCAGCGAGTGCTGTGAGAAGGATGACGAGCTGTAATGATGGTATTCGTTAGCTGTATGCTCCAAGGCGTGGAACTCAATAAGAAGGCCTACGGAGGCGACTGTCACTACCGCAATTTGAACAACGGGGGCCATCGCGAAGGTGTGTTGGTTCGTTTGGACCAGTTGAGAGGTTAGAAACCAAGGAGACACGAATATGCTAGGCCTTGAGGATAAACAGTATTGGTGCTACCTTGTAGTATGGATGTTTGCGCTGGGTTTGTTCTACTGTGCAAAAGTGGGATTCGTTTGATCGCACCAGAGAAGACGTGGAGAGGGTAGCATTGAGGGTGAGAAGGTCTGCGAGGCTGAGCGCCAAGACATGTTGGTGGTGAGGTCCCTTGCCTGATATACGTACTACTTAATGGGACCCCTGTCTATTACCCTGTTATAGCCGCCAGACTGTCCATTTTGGAACCATAGCAATCGAATAAGTGTTACAAAATCCTTAAAATGTTGTAGCCATATGTTTGCAGTTTCTGGATTGTTAGTGAACTATTTCATAGCGGTTGCTCCGCTGTAGCGATCGTCTTACAGTTAGCGTTAGTTAGCGGCGGCAATATTGTTAGTGCTAGGGGTCGAAACACGTTCGTTCATCTCTGTCAGGTCCGTAGCTCAACAGTGGTGTATGTGTAGCATAAAAGTTAATAGACCACTGTTGCCGGCTCGCAGAAGAGGCATATATTTGCTAACATTCTCTCGACGTGCCCATTTGCATGAACTATATACTCCTCTTTATTTAAAGAAACGCCCGCCAGCTCCTTTGCCTTGTCAATGTAGGCCAAAATGCAGGAGGATCAAGATGTGCAGAAAGCATTATCTACGATTGCCTCTCTTACCCTCTCCCCACCTGAGCATAAGCTATTATCATGCTTTGTGCAAGATGCGACTGATCCCAAAGCCGCGGCGTTGTATGTTCTCCAGCGAGCATCCCGTAGCGGCAAAGATTCAATACATGTAGAAACCGAGCTCTATAACCTCCTTGAAGACTGGAAAAAGCTGGTAGAACGATGTTCGGCTCTCCTTACTTGCCTTATTATAGACTGTTGAATTAGGCTAGCTAATATCTCGTTAGTTAAATCGCCAACCCAGGTATCAGCAGCGACGAAGTCGTTAGTTGTGGCCCGTGACGGTGGATTCTGGTGTATCACGAGGCGATCGAAATTATGGTGGGATGTCTTTGGCTGGAGTCGCACTATGCCTGTCCGCATCGTCCCAACAGATGTTATCGCGGGACTAGAAACCCCCTCGGGGGTACGTTGCTCCCTATATAAATGCTGGGTGTTTCTCTAATTAGGATTCTAGGCTTCGTTGCGCGAGATACTCGCCGTATTTATCACAGAGGGTGAACTACGGCACCTATCTAGCTGGTTGGATATTCCTTCAGATGATATAAGTCAGCTTAGGAACACTTGGACACTTGCCAGCACTGCGGCTATTGCCTTCAGGACCGGGCGAGTCCAGATCCTTCCTGATTGGATTTCTGGACAATCTACCAACGGCTTAGAAGATAGCACTTGCGAGGTAAAAAATCTCAGCCGGTTACACGTAAATTGCAAACCCAGCAGGGCCGTTCGACAGCGAGGAGGCTTTCAATAAACATATTATATACCGGCGGAGTCTAAGGTCCGCCATATATGACCACCCCCACGAGATATTCTTCTCGCATGCGGATTTCAGCCCGACGAATATCCTCGTCGAGCGTGGGAGGCTCTCTGGCATCGTCGATTTTGGCTGCGCGGGCTTTTACCCAGAGTATTGGGAGTACACGAAGGGGATCTATGGCCACTTTGGGCCAGAAACCGCGTGGCCTATTACCTTGTTAGATGCATTTTCAGGGTTATATGAGGATGAATTAGCGGCAGAAAAGTTGCTGTGGGAAAATTCGAATTCATTTTAATTAACAGAACATAAATTAAGAACTTATCGGACACCGTTCGTCATATGTAGACAAGAGATATGGTCTCGGAAATTGAATTTTGAATCTCTGTGCAGTTCTAGTACAGCGTCTAAATTAGTCTATTACAGTTTCCTCGCGAGATGCCGATATGAGCGTTTCGTGTAGGCGCCCGCCTTGTAGGTGGCCATACGCTCCACGATGACGGCCCTCGGAGCGTTTGTTAGTTTCTAAAGTTATATTTGTTGGGTCTAACGTCTCTGCGGTTCGCTCGAATCAGATCTGCCTTGAGTGCAGCCTTGGTAGCTTTTGCAAAACGCCAGCAGGTCGACTCGCTCCAGAGCCAATTTTTTTATTAAATCACAATTTTCCTCTTGCTTTCACTTAAATTATGTAAATCTCTTACTACACCAGCACACAATAAGTAATCGAGCATTTCACTCCCTCAACCGCATCGTCAGCCAGCCTTTATGATTTTTTTTTTAAAAAAAAAAAAAGCAAAAAGGAAGCTCCCTCGGGTGGGGTCGAACCACCAACCTCTCGATTGCAATCATATTACTGTTTAACAGTCGAACGCGCTAGCCATTGCGCCACGAGGGATGTCGATTCGGTTTACTACAGTCACCTATAAGTGTGCTCACATCATGAATTCTAGTATTATGGACAGGAAATACGAGGATGGCATGTACATTATCCTCACCCCCATCAACGCCGGCCGCTGGCATTGCGGAATCTACAGCATGTATTGGATAGGCTTCGTGTCGCACGCTTAATTCCAAGCGAGCCGGCAAAAGATGCAGTGAAAGAAGTATATCGGCTTGCGCATCTAGCATCACTAATTTCGACAAGAGAGATGAGAAAGTCCAAATGCCTACTTGCGCTAGGTGGGAAGAGCTGAGGGCTTGTCTATTGTCTCAAATTGCCTGGATGGTGTATTTAGCGGCACTATAATTCTCATTTCCTTTGTGTTAGTTAGTTGTTAACTTCGAAGCATGTCTTCTTCCATAGCATTACCATGAAAAGCTGGCTTTTATTTCAGTTCAGATTGGGGCCCCTTGCCGATGATCAGATCCTAGGAGCTAATTGTGAGTCCAGCTAGGGACTAACATATTTGTTGCATCCATATGTCGATGGTAGCATGCGCGGCTTCAAGCCATAAGGGATGCGTTTGAAAGATTGTACGGGGATTAATTGGCGGCAGAACAGTTGCTGTGGGAGAATGGGGATCCTTGGTAGTGTGCTATCGGCTTTGAATGTGTTGAATACGGTTGGAAGTTCATGTATGGGAGGTGTATTAATCAGAACCTTTACAACGCTTATAATGAGATAGGATATGCTGTGTAATAGATCGTTTTATTAGTACCTAACAAAATTCATTGACAAAAGCAGAATAATCAGAGCCGTAATCGACATACTCCACCTCCGTCGTCACATCGCCATCATTTTCCACAGCCAGTTTAGCTGCATCTTCCTTCTCCCACCTGTCTAAGCCCGCCCTCTGTTTCACCGATACAACGAATCGCTCCTCGTACGCGGCTCGAACCACCTTCCTCGTTCTCCACTTGAAAGTTTTTGGGTTGGAGACGACAAAAATCACCGCATTATAAACCTTTGCACTGTCCTTCGTCTCATCCTCAAACTCACCATACAATATTAAATATAGTAGTTTAAAAGCTGTGTCGCGCGCCTTTGCCTTGTCATCCTTCCTCTCCAGGACTGGTTTATAAACGGCCTTACGTTTATTTTTACCAGTTTTCAGACTGCCGATAATCTCGTTGAGAGATTGGCCGCCAAGGACATCAATGCAGAGGAACTCATATGTCTCGCAGAGAGCGTGGTGTTGGGCAAGATCTGGGGGAAGGGATCGGAAGCACTGGCGAAAGCCGGATTCGATCCCCTTCAGCGCTACATCGAAATGGGCGATGGGACCGTGGACAAGCTCTTTCGGTTGGGTTTGGGCTTTTGTTTCGAAGTTGGCAAAGGCTGATAAGTATGGTATTTCAGACAGCTCGAGGTGGTAGTCCTTGTCCCCGATTTTGATGGGGGTTGTCGTTGGTGTTGGATCCGGAGGCTATCATGTGAAGCATTATCAGCTCAACTGAGATTCATTAATCTATAAAATGTCCCTAACCTCTGTCACTTTGAGATTATTTAGAAGGTCATCAAGTTCTGCCATTGTGAGATCCTTCAAATAAATTAGTTTTTGCTATGATATAAGTTATAGAGAATTTACCATTTGAAAGTCTCCCTTGTTAGAACTAGGTACTGAAATGTGACCTGAGAATTATGTGGATATTAGGTACAGGCAGTAGAGAGCAGATAGAAGAGGTTAGTTTTGGTTATTCATTATGCAATGGGACTATTATAAATAGGTACTCCAACGAAAATACTATTTGCAAACGGTAGTCATCATGTTTGCTACAATAAGACGTTTGCTGCAGTGATAAGTTGCTAATTGCTGTGAAATGAACAGTTCACAGCATGCAGTTTCAGGCCCTACAGTCATTTTTAATTGATATAGTTTCCTGCCACTACTATCAACTTAAATTGCATGCATTTATTGAAATAGTCTAATACTGTACTTTCCACACTTTTGCTGTAGCCTTTGGTGTTCATTTTGCAAACAGGTCGGCTGCCGGATGAACGGCGTCAGCCAACATGGTTGTTCTTCCAAGCGCGCGTCATGATTACTGTCAGCTCGGTGAGCGATGGCAGGCCTCGCGATGGTGGTAACATCTCATGGTTCTTGTGACATATTTGATCACGTTTGATTTCTCATTCGTGTGAGTCGCTTTCCAGTGCCTGTTGGCTCCAACATCTCCCTGGTCGCAGTGTGCTGCCTCAAGTTGGTTCAGCCTCGCGCATGACTTCAAAGCCCCAACATCGCGACCTACTTAATCGGCCTCCTTCGTCATCGTGAGAATTATAAGTTCCAAGCCTGTGGCGCAGTTGGGACAGAAATGATTTATTATCTATGCCATCTATCTGTTCAAATCATGGAAAATAATCCAAACCCTTCCACACAGAACCGCCAGCAGCAATAGCTCACCTTCGCATTCCCACGCCCATCTCCACCATTTCTCATAATATCTACACCTACCTCACCAGAAGCACCTACACCATGAACGGGCACTACTCCAACGGCGGGCTCTACATCGTTCTCTCCCCCGTCGGCGGCGGACACTACCACCACGCCCTCTACATCCACGTCTCCCATCCCTATGGCATGCTCTACCACCTCAACCCCGCGACCCCTACCTCCCTCTCCACCCTCTCCGACCTCCTAACAGAGAACATCCCCACCTCCCGCACCATCATCGCCGCCCTCCTCGTCGACCCCGATGTCCGCGATCAGTCCCTCGCGCGCGCGCACAGCATTTTGGTCAACACCCCCGTCCCCTCGGTCTCCACGCCTACCAGCACCCCCGCGGACACCACCAGCGCCAGCAGCGCATGGGTCCTATTAGCTATCACCCGCCTCGGCTCGGAGGTATTCAGAGTCGACCAGCCCATTACGCCGTTGATGGAGGAGGCGGCGCTGTTAGCTGTCTTCGCGGCTGCGAATGGGTCGAGAGAGATGAGGATGTCGAGGGCTTTGCAGACGAGGATTAAGGCGGTAGAGTGGGGGGAGGTGAAGAGGTGCGAGGTTAGTGGGTGTGAGACTTGTGCTATGATTCGGCAGAGGGGGTGTAGGGATGGGTGAGAGCGGTGGAGAGTCTCGGGGTGGAAGGCTTGATAGCGGCTGTGCTGGAGAGGGAAAGGAGAGAGTAGTTCACGGGGGTCGTGAAATTGTTTACGAGCTTGGAAACGAATGAGATGGTTGTTGTGTGCTTAGAGGCTGGAAAAGGTAAGTAGGATGGGCAAGATTTCATGATCGGGCCAGCAAGCTAATGCAACTAGGGCATTCTGAGGTGTCTTATGGGACAAATCGAAGCAGGCGATGTCTGTGGGACATACGAATTGATGGATTTATGAGAGCTAAACGGCTAATTGAATTATATTTTCGAGGATCCAGATGAGACGCTTCTGTGGACACGGAATGTATAAGCAAACACGCCATCAACGCAGCTCCGACTTCCTACCCTCTTTCGCCCCATCCCCATTGGTTCTTTGATCCTGAGGAAAACAACGAAACCTCACTCACAAATGCTTCTGAATAAAGTCCAGCGCAGTCTGGTACCCCTTCTCATACTCCTTGACCACCGCGGGGTCATCCAAATTGCCTCTCGCCGCCATCCACCCATGGATCATATCATCCCACGTCTCAACATGGTTCACGACCTTCAAGTTCTTCTCAAACGCCTCCACATCCTTCTTACTCTCGTCCTTACTCGCCAACAGCATATGCGGGATCGTAATCTTCGCCGCCTCCGCACCGCTCGGGCTGGCCGGGTGACACTGCACGCTGACCGTCCACGGAGTGTTCTCTGCAGACGTAAGTGCCATCACCTTTCCGCCCCAGCAGTACCCGAGGCCGGCCCATTTCTCGATCTTGGGCGACGCCTTCTTGATGCTCTCTAGGAATCGAAGCGCCTTCGCGGCCCCCGCGGGGAAGTCACCGTGCTGCTTGAACCAGTTCCCGAGCTTCTCGGCTGTGGCGGAGGTGGGGGGGTACCATTCGAGTGGGCATGGGTCGTTGTCCCAGAAGTCGGGGACGAAGACGCGGAAGGTGGAGTCGCAGGAGAGGATGTCGGCGCCTTGGAGGGTTTGGGGGTAGTAGCCGAAGATGTCGGCAATGACGAAGATACCAGTCGTGGCGGACGGGGAGCCGGTAACGTCTGCGGGGATCGTTAGTTGGTGGGGGATAGAGGGGGGCAGGGAGACGAACAGGTCTTGATACCGTCGATGGTCTCGTAGGTGCCCTTCGCCTTATACTCCTTCTGGGGGACGATCGGGGGGATGGTGCAGCAGGCCCTGGAGTGCTGGGAGATCTTCTCGACGTGCTCGGTGGGGTTTGGCTTAGACATTGTGGGAGGTTGTTTGTGAAAGTATCGAGTGTTGTGGTGGTTGATGTGTGTTGTTAGGAAGAGAGAAGGGCGGATTGAGAGATTTATCACGGAGGAGGGGTGATATAGACGTAATGGCAGGGCTGTGGAAAGGTAAGTGGGCCTCCAACACCACATTTAGCAGGAGAATGGATGTGAAGCTCGGTAGAGTCGGGATTAAGAGGTGGAGATTAGGGGGTATAGGTAGTTTGGTCTAACTAAAATCCTCGGTATGTAGAAAAGGCCCAATTCAATTACTTTGTCGAGGTCTCAATAGCATATAATCGTACGATTAAGGTGCAAGGCCGACAATGTAAATTATTATTATTCTTTGCCCTTTGCCCTCCCGAGGCTTGTTTACTTTGAACCGAGTCGTAACGTCATTACCGCCGTCATAAATCCCACCCGGGGAAAGAGTGGTGGGGGCGGGGTAGCTTATCCGGTCACGTGTAAATAATCACGAGGTAATCACGTGACTGATTATAACGGATTAACGCGATAAGGGTCCTCCAAGGTTACGACTTTATATCTAAATTCGATGTCAGATACTGTTCTTGGGGGTTATCCGTACAGTATCCTATACTCAATTTACCCGCCTCTTGTTTTGCATGGATA